CCTCTTTTCCTTCGACTCACGGAGCCACGTCTCGATGGCTATAGATCCTGGCGCTTCTGGTTCGCTGACCACGCTGCACAGCGGGCAGATGGAAAAGCCATTTATCCCCAGGGCTGAGAACTTGCGTCCAAAAGTGAAATGGAAGTCCGTCGCGCAACGCAAAGGAATGGATGATAAGCACCAAGAAAGTCGACAGAGCAGCTCCCGCGGCGCAAGGCAAAGTCCCTCGTTCTCCGAAAGCCCTTCTTCATTGTTCGTCCAGGCTAACGTATATTTTGCACAGATCTCAACAGCGTAAAGAGACTCCGTTGGTATGCCTCTACCCAAACTGCGTTGCTGGGCTATTCGGGACGCACGTGAAACTCGTTCAACATTATCGCCGTGTGCACCTTGGTCTCCCCGACCGGCGGGATGGCACATTCCTCTGCGATTACGAACGTTGTAAGCGAAGTTCAGTCCCTTTCCGTCGCTTAGATGCGTTACGTGAACATCTAAGAAAGACGCACAAGGAAGCCATCCAGCAAAACCATCGTGCGCATAGCGGCTCATCGATTGCTGTCCAAGTCGAACATATGGATTGGTGGCGTTGTACTAAGTGTCTTCAAAAGATTGAACGCAATCAAGAAAAGGACTATTGTCCGAACCACAAGCCGCTGGTAGGGATAGAAATGGCTATGACACCAATGTAAGCTGACTGGATGAGCAGAAACATGGCCTCTGCAAACGCTGTGCTCCGGCATCAGCTCCAACAAAGGCAACTAATATTACGAAGAGCTAAACATTAATCTCGAGTTGCGTACAGGAACCAAGCTGGCGAAGTTCCTGAGGCAAGTTGTTAAGGAAACTATCCATGACAAGGAGTCTTGTACAACCCTTATTCAAGGACTCGGCCCTCTCTCTCTCTCCCCCTCATCCTGTCCAACTACTAGGGCATCCAGCGCCTGCCATGATCATGCAGCGACGGCAATCTCTTCGTCCAACTTATCGACCTCTTTGCCATCCTCCCTATCCTATACCGCTCCGCCACAATGTTAGGTACAGCTACACCGGTGAGCAAAGTTGTCACTGTAATACGCTATTCCCCCCCATCTATCAGCCTGTGCCGCTGTACAAGTCTCAGGATGTGTTCCTGTAAGGTGCGTATTTCCATCTCGGTTTTCTCAACCGTGGCAGGATAAAGCCGTTGTTTTCGCCATCTGTCGATGTCTGCAGCCTTTTTTTGCAGCTTTCGAGATTTCGTAGCCATGCTGTTGCAGAGCTTACATGGCGATTTTCTCTTCTCGACCTCGTGTACAAGCTTTAGCCCGCAAGTTTCACCTATTCGATACTCCTTGTTGCATTGTTCGCGAAAGCTCCCCCATCTCCAATAGCCGCAAGTCCAAACGATTTGCTCAAAGAAGCACATCCTCAAAATGCTTCACGAATGGTCTATGTGTGAATTGCAAGAGATGCGCTTGGAAGAAAGATGTTGCGGATCGATTCCTAAGCGAACTGCAATAGACTGGTTGCGTATAGGGTAAATCAAGGCTGGTCGATTGCCCGGAAAACCCCAGGTTGCTTATAAGTCGGTCTTTTTCTGCATTAATAAAGATATGATGAGTTCTCGGCCCCGTTATAGTTACCAGCTTTGTTCATTTACTGCTGCTTGTCACACACCTCCGGCTGGATGACTCGGCTTTTCCTCACACGGCGAGATGCGCCGGCTCCTGTAAAATGGAGGCCTTAATTTACAGAACAGCCTCGCCACTTTCAATCGGCCTCCATGGCACGAGGCTCCACGTATCATTGAACTTGCCTCGCATGGGAGTGAATTGATCATATAGGTACAGGCTAGGCTTCGTCGTTGGTTATCTGCCCGCTCCACCTCGTCCCACCGGTTTCTGCTGCATGCTTTCTGGAGGATTCGTTGCGTCGCTCTATTTGCTTCACTATTTCCTGCACTCTACGCTCTCTCTCCCCCCCCAAAAATCTACGGACATGAAGTATCAATTACAGAAAAATAACCACTCATACGAGTGAATTAGTCACCGAATCTTATTTGCAGGGCCGCCGGAAATAACTGCTCTACAAAGGCAAATCCAGAATGTGGGAGCAGACGTAGTGGATCAGCGGCAAGGATGCCTCCCCTCTGAGCATCTGTAAAAAGGCGTTTAAAGGACGAGAGGAAAGTACAGGGGACCACCAGAAGGGCCGCGACAAATGAAATATGGCCCCACTCCATGTCTTCGGAAGTTGAACCGCTTCTCACGAACGGGTGCCCGGCGCTAAAAATTGACGTGTTGCGTGGCGTGCTAGGTTTAGCCTAGCGTACTGAACTCAGCAGTGCTTACGACACCAGCCTCGGCGGGCCGTTAGTTCGTTACTTCCCTGCCAGTTCGACGGGAGCATACCCTTGCTAAGTCAGCTGGCCGGACGTAAAACACGAGGGCTGCTAGTTTATGCTACAAGCCAAGATTCTCCATGTTTGACGTTTCTTCCATACTATTGGTCGTTGAACAAGGCGTTTGGCGGTTGGCGGCTGTACATTGCGATCTCACCAGGACCACTTTTCCGAATGGAGAGTGCCATTACGTCAAGCCAAAACAAGCCGCCAACAGATCACATTTTTTCCAGCTCCATCCATCTTGCATGTACCTTTGAGGTAATTGTTGGTCCTACGTCGTTGCCATTCAGGCCCAGGGCTTTCTTTCGGGCATATACCCCATATCGTGGACATGGCCACTTCAGTACATCCTTGCGATTCTTGCGCTCGCGTAAGTCCAACGCGAAGCCAAAAATGCGACCTTGCCGGTGTAGCCACGCTGCTGCCTGAAGTAGTCTATAATCCCATAGCCGCCGCTAAGATGCATGGTACCTGATGATGGACTGACTGGGATGCCATCCGGGGTGTGGGACGATAGCAGCGGGTCTTGCGGAAGACGATTTCTCACATAGAACGCCCACGGAGCAACCCCTTGATGTTAATCATGTACTCGTGCCATGCCTTGAACTCACGAGTTCCAAAATAAAGTGGGACATGGCACGAGTAGAGACAAGGGCTGGTGGGAAGTAGGTTAACAACGAGACTCGTCTCCAAACGCGGCCCAGCCTTTGTGACGAAACGCAATTTGTGCCTTAGCGAAGTCGTGCCATCTGGGATTGATTCGTCTCTGGTCTCCCATCGGTCGCCCCAGGCTGTATGGCAACACTCTGCCCTATTTCAATAGGCCTGGATGTTACCCACTTGCCCATTTCGGCTCCCTACAGTAGCTGGCTCCCGTATCTGGCAATTCGACTGGCCCCCCGGTGATGAGTCCTGCGTCGTTCACGCCTCGATATGCACAGTTGTGTGTCATGAAGTTCCCACTGCCCGCATGTCTGGCAGCCGTCGCTGTTGGTCGGCTATTGAGCATTCCAAGTCGTCAGCCAGATCGTTCGCCACATTTTCTGCTGGCATTGCTTTACTGGCTTTTTTTCCCTCCTTCGGTGTTTGAGAAACCCTAAATGCTGTGCTTAGAATAGAGGCGATTCGTGTTAACCATTTCCAGCGCCGAAGGGCAAATTTGTTGGCTGCCATAAGGACAAGCTGAGACGGCATACGCCGCGGCAGAGGAGTTAGCCACATTCAACTTGGCCCCCACAGCCCTATGGGCATGCTGCAGTCGACTTGATTCCTTGTACTCCAGGTCTGCGTGATGAGAATGCAGCGTTAGGGGTGTGTTGCAGGGGTCGGTTTTGTCATCGAAAGAGATAGACGCTGTCCACGATCTTCATGCCGGGCGGCAAATTCATCCTGGCTCGACGAGAAGGACTTGCCTTGATCGTTCGTTGCATACACCTCAACGCTGCCGGGGCCATTCCGATTCGGCAAAGATTGTCATAGCGGTAGCACCAAACGACCAGAGCGTTCTAACACTTGTCCAACAAGTGAACTTAGGCAAGGTCTGCACGGTGGCATAAAAAAATTTCGGTCACAGACGGAGGAGTGTTACATTGGACATCCCTGTTTCTTTTCCGTCTACTCCAGAGGGAAACTACGAGTGACGGTTCCGTGATGGCTCGTTGGCCAATTGGAAGAAGGCCGCCGACTTGTTAGCGCGCCCCATCTACAGCGTGAAATCCGCCTTGTACTCGCATGGCAGTGCAATGCCATTCGGACGATCATGCTCAGCTACAGTACAGCCCTATCATTCTGCCACACCACCCCGCCCGGGCAGTGTGGGGGAAAGAGACAACTTGAGTGGTTGTACGGGCCGTCCCGACAGTCTGGTTCAGCGAATCAGCTTGGAGATGCCCGTTGCAACTGTCAAACAAAACTCTACCAGTGTGCACTCATTGGACGACGCAAACACGACGATGCAAACAGGGCCAGTACAACAGGCAGCCATAATGCTACGCACTAACTAAGGTCGGGGAGCTCCGGGTCGGGCTTCAGTTGGGTCGGCGATAACCAATTCTAGGTAGGCAACTTTTGCATGGAGTTGGACAATTTGTGCCTGTGCAGCGTAATACGCACTCTCCCACGATTGGCAGCAGATTTGAGCCCATGTCAACTCGGCTCTTGTAAAACTCAGAATGCTCTCCTCCCCTTCTTTCGGTGTTAGTGGGAGTTCGCCTGGCTCCATGGTCAGTCTCGTATGACGTTCTTCGGCTGGAGTGATTTCGTGCTTGGGTGTGCGCGTGTGTGTGCCCGGCAAAGAGCGAAGGGAGCACTGAACCAACAGAATTCTGGTGATTTATACATTTTAGTGGGACGCCCAAGTCACAGCCAGTCCAAGTTCCTGATTTGCGGACTTTGGTTCGTCTCTACAAGATTATACCTTGGATTGAGTCGAGCTATGAAGGAAACAGAAACCTGGAAACACGAAACTGAATTCTGGGAGTTCGGTACTTCAGAAGACCTTAGGCTACGGTAACATAAAAGGCCAAAGAGCCAAGTCGAAGATTCAAGAACACTTTTCGTTCCCTTCTGCTTCTTACTTAGCCCAACCCACTCACCCACTTGCTGTTGTCCGTCCAACATGACGATCTCTTGCCAGGTGAACACGCTTTATGACGAGCCCCTTGAAGGCATCTTTGTCCAGCTCCAATGCGTCGAGCACCCCGAATACTGTTACATGGGATGTTCTAACCATTCGGGCGCGATAGATGAATGGTTTAGCCTTCATGATCATAAAGTGCGACCTGTGCGGTCTAGTCCGAACATCGAAGGCTTGCATTGGCAAATGTGTTTTGTTGTCCAGCCTTTTTTCCACGACACATGCTTCCCAGAAATCTGGAATACCGTCTGGGTGCCCAAGAATACAGATTCTCACACTGTCGTTACTGTTGACAAAGACATGTACGCAGTCTTCAAGGATGATGCTTCAAGTGCCGCCCTCGAAGGAGGTACGCTCCCGTCTCACACGGTTTCAGTTCATCCGTCGCATGGCCCCAAGGTCATCCACAATACAGCAGACTCGGACGATGTGGAAATCCGCGTCGTCACCCCCTTGCCTTACGATAGAATTTCAGGATTCAATGAGCCCGTCTGTCTAAGCGCCGGGCCAGAAGGACCTGCTACATTTCCTTGGCAGGAAAGAAAACCTAAAAAAGGACACAGGGGCACAGCACATCCACAGCAACTGAGGCGCTCAGCTAGGCTCTCAAAGTCGTAATTGATGCGTATCATTGTGTAGTTGATCAGGAATTTGATAAATATAGTTCTACCTTGTTGGCCATAAGATTTTGGAAAGCGCTCCATCAAATGAGACTGGTCACAATTGCTAATTTTACCACCGCTCGCTTGTAAATAAATTTGCATTCACTAGGATCCCGCAAGGGGTTCATGAGAAGATAAATAGCACGGAAAATCCCCCCCTTTCCACTTCCCGTACGTGTTAACTTCGAGCATAACCATGGCATCGACCAAAATAAACGAGACGGAGTTCCGATTCCAACTGAATAGGTGTAGGCTGCACTTGGAAGCAGCTCACGCATCCTTGCAGGCTGTGCACGGCGACTTGAGGTACTTACAAGTAGCATTAGATGAGGTTGCCTCAGAGGTGAAGCGATTGGCACGTGATAATGATCTACTGCTGTCATGCTTGAACCATCTTGTTGACTGGGAGGGGGGTGACAGTCCGAAGACTCCAAAGCCACCAACAACACCCACCACCCCCTGTACTCCATGGGACCCCCCCAAGGAGGAGCTCACCCATGATTCAGACTCGAGTGGCAATAGCAGGATGGTTGCTGCAGGGGCTGCCGGAGATAAACCTCGGTCGAAATCGATGTGAAAGTCGGCCGCAGTGGTTCTCCTGTGCACCACGGCAGTCACTTCTGAGATGTGTGGTGTTGATTCCATAATTAGTAGCAACTCACTTGCAAACAAGGAATCTGGCATCGTAATAGATGTAGTGATGGGTGTCTTACGTGGCAAAGTTTGAAGGGCGCCTAGGCCCCCTTGAACCAACTTCAAAGAAGGGACCGTTTCAAAATGTGTGAGTCTTTGAGAAATCATGGCATTCAATTGGAAGAGGCCATCAGAGACGGCTGTCGACTGTCTGAGGGCGGCTAGGTCTGTTGCCTAGTTGGTTAGCTTGAGTCGTCCTGCTTTGTCACGTCGTCCAACAGTGCCTTGAACGGAGGCTTCTCGGCCCGAAAGCCTTATATATATGAAGTCATCCAGTACACACATATTAATATTGGAACTTATTTACTCTATAACAGTAGTGATTTTGTTACTCGACTTTGCACACATTTCTCAGTCTTCGAGGTGCCACGCCGTTTCTACCTATCATATCATGGAAGCTGAAAAGCGTAAATGTGTCTCTTCTTCATTAGAAATGCATGGTACTAATCATATTAATGAACAGCTTACCAGCCTTTGTGGACAAGTGCCCATAAGGTAGGGGTCCTCGTACAAGTTGTCACATTGATCACCTGGATCTCGTCCGCAGTTATCTCCGTCTACTTCCACGACAGAATATGGGAACTGAACTACCTCCACCCGTCACTCTTCACTTTGGACCACATTCTTGGGGATATGTTTTGGTTTGTCTACACCCTTCATAATTTAAGGCTCCATCACCTTACATTTTTAAACAGGGTCGGCCTCTTCGTTTTCCAGTCAGCCCACATCGTCTACGACCTGTACAAAACCTCGCCTGCAGGTCTTGGAGTGATGCAGGGCCAGTTCATCCTTAACAACGTCTTTCATTTCGCATTTATCCTATTATTCGTCAATTCCTTCTTCATTGCAGCTGAGCTTCTCCTAGTACTAAATGTTCTCAATCTATGTATATTGTATTTCCGCCACTCACTCTGCTGGATGTTGGTCCGCACAGCAACCATGTCTGGCCCTTTGGCATGGACGATTGTTGCGGTCTATTGGAATGGCTCAATGATGGTTCCAGACCCAACATCTATTGCATGCCGTGTAGTCGGCCAAATTTCAACCTGGGGAATATTCGCTTGTGGCGTTTTGTTTGCATTGGCGTATCAGGTTTGGTGACCACAGTCCGTGTGGCAAATCGTATGGACTAACCGTAGGTAGGACTGCACTATCACATATTCTCTCAGTTTTCTGTCTGGAGCACTTGGCGTTGCGCAACTGAGAAGCCAGCTCGTACCCTTTCAATGGGTTTCTTCTTTTACTATGACCGCTACTCTATATGTCATAACTGTCGTTTTGATTATTCGGAAGTGGAAACTCCGAATGTTGGAGCTGAGAAGCTCTTTCGATAAGGAATCCGACAAATGCCCGGAGGCTAACAAAGCAGATACGGATTGCTATGAATCGTGAGACGCCGTAAACCACCAGTAAGTTAGCCAAGCCCCTAGAATCTTACTCTGGTTTGATATTGTATCACATATGTATCAGATACTGGTGAATGCTGTTGTGGCACTGTAGCTTTGTGGTAGGCCCTTATATGCCAGATGGCTCTTAGGTTATGTACTGTTTGTTTGTCTTTGTCACGCAATGTGGAAATATTTTTTTTGAAACAAATTGTCGTTGAGGTTGCTTTAGGATAAGAAGTTCATGAAATTTTATTCAAGAGGATTAAGTGCCAAGTCCTTGGCGTTCATCCTACAGTTCATGCTTGTCGCATGGTTGTCAGAATAGAGTAGAAGTGTCTTTTGGACCTAGTATTGATTTTTGTTTTCGCAATGTATGTTTAACTGATATGTTCGTTACATCGCTCTGTCTGATAGAAAATATGAATCCACTTGCTTGAGGCTCCTGAACGCAGCAGATCGAGAAACGTTGCCGTTGCATATTTAAGACCCTTGGCAACCATGTGAAGGGCGGGAGTCGTATACCAGTATTTCTACCTATTTTTAGAAAACCGAGATTTCACAACATTTTGTCTGGTGACTGTGAAATCCAAAACTTCCAATTTGAGAACATAGATCTTGTTTTCAAGATCCCCAACAAAACAACGCCATCGCCCATCGCTGCCCATGTATATAAGCCTGCAAGAACCTACTACAATGCTTCAATAGGTCAGCAGTCTGCGAAAACCTTAGTCACTAGCTTAAGGCCAGAACACAATGGCGGAAGAAAATAAGCCCCTACAAAAGAGAGACAGGACAAATGATAACTTCAGAAGAGTCATGAACAATTACATGAAAAAGGGTAACTTGATATGCCAACGCTACGGTGCAGATATCCACATTGTGGTACGGCGAAAACATCGTTTCTACACCTACAGCTCAACTCAAGATTCGACGTTCCCGCCATCTCATCAACAAGTTGTACGTTGTCCGCCCTCTTCATCTGGCCCAAGTCTCTAACAATTTTAGGAGCAATCTTACCCCTTACCCATACAGAAAACACCTCTAAACTATCCCATTCAAAAAGCATAAATGATGATTTATCTCAAGGAAGCAGTGCAGTAATCATAGTTTGACTTTTTTTTTATTATTTAATGAATATCGAGACAAAACCTTTGCATCTTCTTGGTGCGACGGAGCGTAAACAAGTTGTATATAGAGCTTCCTAGCGATTGTGCTTGGTGTGTCTAGTCATCAGCGCTTCTACGGATTTCGGATATAAGCACAGAGTTCGAGGGCTATATCCACACTACTCCGGCATCCTTTAGTAGCATGGTTATCATTGGGGTCATTATAGACGTTGGGACAAACGTCGTCACAGCTAGAAGGGCACAATACCCCAGGACAGTCGCTGGCGGAGGTATGCAGGGCAACACCATAGGCGCAAAACTGCCTCGGGAATTCATCGTTAATGTCTGATAGATCATAGTACAGATCCGTAGGGTGCTGCGAAGGCACGTAAGAATACTCCAGCTGTGTCTTGGAGCTAGATGCAAAGGCGTTTGCACGGCCTACATCGGTCAAGGTTTTGCCAACGCAGATGTCGCTCGTAATTTTAATGGATACACCGGTTCCGTTTTCGACAGGGCGGTATGTCTCAACGTAAGTGTCTCCCGGAGGCAATTCTAGTACAAATGGAGATGTCGCTTGGACCGAAGCAAGAAACACAGAGAAGGGGCAGCGATTGATTACAATCGCGTGTCCTAAAGCATGGGCATGCCACGAACAACAGAGAAGTGCAATAATAACCGGGAGCCCTGACATCGCGCAGGTAGCAAAGAGAATACAATGGTGCAAATATGTCTAATAAACAGTGTTGAACTTATTGGTAAAGCTGCGCTAATCGTTGATGACCGAATCTTTCTGGGCACTGCCTTTTTCTAGATTTTAACGGTGCGTTGTGCAAGAAAAAGGACATTGTGGATTGAAACGTGACCAAAGGCGCACGACGTGGGATCCTGGGTCTTGAACCTCGGATGTGAAATCCGAGTTCCTAAGTCCAAAGCTGTAGATCCATGACCTCAAATCCCGCCGATTGCTAAATTGTATAGACTCGTGGAGAGTCTATCGACAACCTTCCGTGAGGATTCTCACATACGAAACCCGTCAAAAATTGTCAATGCTGTGACTTCTGGTGCTTTGCATCTTTGTATTGACGATATTATCTTCGGGCTGTAGCGTCAACGCACCACACGCGAATAATCATGCTCTGGAAGGAATTGCCAGTCGAGGTGCACATCATAATCACCGATTACTTAGATCCTAGGTCTGCTGCAATAGTTCGGTTGCACCTGCATTGGCAACTATCCAAATGGAACCAGCAGCGCATGCGCCAACCGAGAGTATGGGGCAGTATCTTCAAGCCCGGAGTCAATTTAGAAAGCATAATATCGGAACTACGTCGCTGTTCTATTGAACCAATCAGCCAGTGACCTCCTGTTGCTTGGCATGGATCTAGATCATCTGTTCTTTGCCAAACCAAAACTCCAATCGGATCCTCTGATTGTAGTACTGCTGGTATTTGTTGGCGGTCGATTTATACCATGCCCCCCCGGTATTTACAGGCACTTACGCAATCAAGAGCATCTTGATGGCTCGTTAACTGATGTTGGGGCAGTTCACATTCGTCCTACTAGTCATAACATGCAGGCGGCGCAAGATGAACTTCTACTGCAACTCTCCCCTACAATGCACGCGAAGAGGCTTGGCTGGATCGGAGGACTCGAAACTCGGGCATTATCCTTGTGGGACAACGAGCTACACACTGTAAAACTTACTTCTGAGTCTGACCCTATTCTGTCATATTCTAATTCAGGACTCAGATGGACAATGGGATATC